AGGCTTGCGTAGGTAAATGGATGAGTGCTTACCTATTCTGTCTTGCAAATAGTTGTTGCTACTATGTACGATGGGAGCTTCCATCTTTAATCTGAAGACACTTAAATGTACGCGCCATCTCGTGGCAACTTTCATAACGATCCCAACGAACATTCCTCTGAGAAGGTTCCTGATACCATCCCTGTGCCTTCCACTGTTTCGGCGTGTATGTGAACACATTTGGGACTAACAGGGTTTACTAGAATCCTACCACTCCACCACAGAGTCACCGCAGTAGACGTTGGATGAGCGCTGTCGCTCCGCGGCACTTGTTTTGCATACAATGTGGTTCACGTACCCCCTGAAGCCCATCCACGGACCCCAAAGGACTCTGTCGACCACAGGTTAATAACCTTTGCTCTAGAGTCTAGTGTGATAGTACATAGCATTACTGCAATACATAATATATGGTTGCAGATGGCAGTGCTCGGGAGCAAAAGTGCCTAAATCCTATCATATGCTTGGCAACAAACATAAATGTCAGATTTAAACTACAGTTTCCATTCGTTTCTGACTTAACTCGAACAGTATAAAATAGTTGTGCAGAATAAAGTAATTCCTAGTAAGAAATACCATGGAAAACTGAGAATAATGGGATATTTTTAGTTCTCTTCTACAGGTTATAACCTGCCCTTCCTGTAAAAATAGATTTGTAGGCCGGCAAACAGATTTCCAATATAACTTGTCCATCTGGCATCTGGCAGCGTACAGTCTGGGAAGTCGGGTGGTGTACGTACTCTGTTGCTGGCGAAAACGTAGCATTGTTATATTAGTGTCACGTATATGTGACCCCAGTTTTACATCAACTGATTGGTAAATCATGTAGAGAGTATGATAAAAATAAAAAAAATTTATAATGTCCTATATTTCCAGAAACACATATGTACATTATATTATATTATACGTTATACAGAATATCTGCAACACTGTGATGGTAACATAGTTCAGTGATGGTACAAACAGGTAAATGCCGGCATAAACAGTTTTACAAAGTAGTGCATATATGAGCGTACTAATTATACTCTGTTACGAGAAGTTCATAAATGAAGGTAAGCATAGTAGTAGAGCTCTGTAGGCCTTGAGCATGAAAAGTACAATTTTACTAAACATCATGTAATGTTATATGACAATTACGATGTTATATGAGAGTATGATAAATTGATATATGGTAATTGTGTTGATAATTTCCATAGTATACCATTATGTTTTAACACTATTTGGGCATTAATTATAAGTGATTCAGCAATAAATAGCATGATTAACATGTAATTACTTAAAGCATTAATTTAATCATGTATCTCATGTCACAAATGTTAGACTAGTCGTACTCTTTTAAAATAAGTGAGCTGAGAAAACCATTAGCGATATTATCTTGCAAAAACCAAGACCAGACTGTCACTCGTCTTTCAAAAACTAATCTTAAAGCACCTAGAAGCTAATCTGTAATTAATATAAAAAGTTAAATTAACGCATTTAAGTATGAACAAAATTAATAAATTTTCCAAGTATAATTAATATCATTAGGTATATTTATAAAGAATCTTAAGGTAAGGTTAATGAGTGCAGTGAAGCTACACAGCATTATATCTAGTCCAGTAATCTGAAATGTTTAGTGTCACTTGTATTGAAAATCATATCATGGTTCAATTCGGTGTAAATATTTTTGCTCATCATAAAAAACAACCTTGCGAGCTGTTCGTTTTTTCATCGCTGTTTTTAGAGCAAGCGTTGACTGACGGATGGCTCATCTAATAATGCACGTCGTACGGAACCTTTAAGTTGCTATGGCAACTAAAATTCTCGGCTTGTTATTTTGTGAGTTTGTAGATTCTAGTTCGAATAATCCATATAGAGCACAAACGATTCACCATCGTATTAAGAATTGCAGCTACTGCGGTAGAGTTTATTTCAAATGATTGCTATGTAAAATTGAAGCATTGATCATCTTGCTGCATGCAGTTATGTGCGAGATGGTGCATTATTTAGATAATTTCCTACGTAGATTTCATGCTAGCTGCTCAGTTGTTGATTGGCAGGACTCAACATTTTTGTGTGGCCAAACGCGTACTGGCTTTAGTTGTAGATTGGTCGTTGTGTGGTTTTATGACGTCACTACCCCTGAAATCTCCACAATAGCAGCAAACATATAAAGTAGAGACAGGTGTGCCATCTTAGGACATAGAATCACAACTATGATCAACCTTAACTAAAGCAATGATAATAGTAATAATAATAACAATAATAATATTAATATATTGTTTATCTGTAACGTTTTAAAGAACAGTAAAATCTGTTCACAGCTCATGTCCAGTTCATATGGATATGGTCCATGTTGCGTGGCATTTAGTAGTGCAAGTCTGTCGTGGGGAAATTGCCTATTTATTTAATCGTTTAACGTCGTTATTGACAGTGCCGATATATATGTAAAAACGCAGTCTCTCTCTCTATGTGAGATATTTTATTTGATTCCTGGATGAGGGATTTATAGTAAGCGTGGTCATCAAATAATGCGTGCAATATGCGATCGACCTTTTGAGTTAAAAGAGGTTTTTTTTGCAAAAAAACACTGGATGATGTGATTGCAGCTGGAAATTGCTCCTCGCTCTCCCAATAGACAGCCCCCCTGTTGCACACGCGTGCCTTCCTGCTCCCCCCTCCTGTCGCGTACCCCCCTTCTATCGCAGGGGCACCCCACTGCGCACCCCTCATCCCCATTGCACACGCGCCCCACCGCCCCCTCCCGTCATATGTGCACCCCACAGCACGCCCCGCTTCGCAGCATCCCACCCTCCTTGGCGCACACACGCCCCCACCGCCCCCTGCCGTCCTATGTACACCCCACCACCCACCGAATCACATCCCTCCATCTCACGCACACCCCCCTCCTCCCACGTCGCACGCGCGTTGTTATTCGCTATCAGTAATCGTCGTTTCGTCTCTTCCAGAGCGGCGACGGCCGTGTGGGAGGCACCCCGCCTTCACCGAGAACGACTCTGACTAGGAATAGTGAAGGTATTGTTGTTCTACGTCATACCTCGGTGGGGGGAGGGACCCACCCACGCACGCAGTAACGATCGCGCGAATGCTAATTGAGCGCGGTGTGTGCACACGCCGGCAAAACGCGCTGTGTCATCCTCGCTATTATAAAAGTCTGGTTAAATTCTCGATTGGCGAATGCGTCGCGGTTGGGTAGAAAGGCTAGGGTGTCGGTGTTCGGCTGCTGGTACCGATCGTGGGAAATTATATCGTGATACGGTCCGTATTGTCATGGAGTCGCGAACAAGATTGGTCACGCGTTGTGTCGTGAAACTGACACCCATAGATGCTTCAGACTGTCACTGTTTCTACGGATACGGTAAGGAGCGCAATCGGTGGAAAATTAAACTAGGGGAGGGTTCGATATAAAACGAGGAATTAACACTCGCTGCATTGTGAATGTATTTGGAAAATCATTTTAGGAAAACCCTTCCATGAGTAGACGCACTGCTGAAGTTATGATGCTCTGCACACACGCACTTGTTCGTGATTCACTGTGCTCATGCCGTGCTCTAAGTAAAGTCTCTCCTCTCTATCCGTGTAGATAAAGAGGAGCCTGCAGAAGAAGGAGGAGGAGAACCTGACGAGAGGAATGGTCAGACAAATGTGAGCGACGCCGCCTCCGTCGATGGCTCTGTAGGAAAGATGGCGGCGAAAGCAGTCGCAGTGGAGAAGTGCGAGACGGAAGAGAAATCAGAGAAGCCAAACGAAGTAGCGTCGGTGATCGAAAAGGAAGATGCAGAAAACGAGCAAACGGCTGCGAAAGAAACAGGAAAGGAAGAAACAGAAAACGAGCAAACGGCTGCGAAAGAAACAGGAAAGGAAGAAACAGAAAAGGAGCAAACGGCTGTGAAAGAAACTAGAAAGGAAAAAACTGAAGAAAAGGAAGCGAAAGACGAGGAGCCGGAGAAGTCGTCGCCGCCGGCGGAAGAACATCGTAAGCCAGCTGGCGACGACAAAGAAGAAGAACGTCGTAAGCCCTCCGGCGACGAAACCCCGCGTGCGGACCCAGCGAGTGAGGAAGAAGCAAAGCCAGCAGCAGACGAGAACGCGGAGAGCCGCAGGGAGGCAGACACGCCGACGGATGCGGGCGCCGAGGATGCCGGGAATCTCAAACCTAACGAGTCTAACGAGGTTAACGAATCCGCCGACGTCGTCGCCGAGGAGAAGCCGAGCCCTGACTCCGTCGTCGCGGAGACGTCATCTGCCGATGCGGCCCCCGTCGCCGTGGAAACGCGCGGCGAGAGGTCGCGGGAGGAAGCTGAGGCCGCGCGGACGAGAGGTGAAGCCATCGTCGGAGACAGGAAGAACTCGCAGAACGATGAGGAGATGGAGGTCGAGGCGGCGGCGTCCGAGATAATGCCGGCGGAAGACGTTAGCGTGGCAGGGGGCGCTGCTAGCGGTGTGTCAGAACCTCACGAAGAGGAAATGCCGATGGAAGTGGACGAAGTGGTCGAGAAAGTGGAGAAGGAGGAGGAGGAGAAGGAAGAGGGGACACCCTCGCGAGAACGTACGTGGCGTGGGATTTTTCCGAGGGATTTAATTCACCTTTCCTGTCCTGTCATCAATTCGAGTGAAATTCCCCCCTCCCCCCCAGATGTTATTGCTAGGTCTGTCACGCCAGATCAGTTTATACGTGTTTTTTATGCTTGCACGCGAAATTGTCGTCTTCGTTTCATGACAATTCATTACTAAGCAGCAGTTTTAGAGCGCTCCTATCACGAATGATGATTGACTATAGCTACCTGTTGAATCACGCCAGATAGATAGGTTTAATAGGCCATCGTTAAAAAATTATATGTTTGCTGTCCTCCGACCGACCCACGAAAATAGCTGCGACCCAAAAGTTTTTTTTTACATTTTGGGTTCCATTTTTTTTTTTACATTCCTCATAGTTAAGACTGAAACACAAAGCATGTGTGGCAAACATGAGGACAGACTTAAAATAACTATTATGCCTCACAAAAAAAGACCTACCTACCTACCCACTAAAAAAATTATGGGTCGAGAGACAGCAAGAATTTTTTAAGGATGGCCTAATATTGTCGCATTGTGTAGCCTTCATTGGATTCCAAATTTGGAGGTAGCGTTAAATAATTAAATAATGTCGTAAACGAGTAGTGTCGCGCTAGCGATTTAATATAAAACTGACGCTATTTTATCATCTGAGGTGTGCACTCGAATTGAGGTTATCACTGCTATTATGCGCGGTTTGTTATTTCAGGTGCAGCGATAGGTGGTGACACAGCAATAGCCTACCAACTACCTAAGGATACAGCAGTAGCTAAGGATACACCAGTAGCCATCGATAGAGCGATAGCAGAAGATAAAGCAATAGCTAAGGATACACCAGTAGCAGAAGATACGGCAGTAGCCATGGGTACAACAGTAGCTGAGGATGAAACAGTAGCTGAGGATGCTGCGATGGAAGAAGACAATCTAACGATGGAGGCAAACCTAATGACAGATAACAATACAGCTGTGAATATGATTACAGCAATAGATGACACTGCAGCTATGGTTGACAATGCAGCGATGGATGACAATGCAGTAATGGTTGACAATGCAGCGATGGATGACAATGCAGTAATGGTTGACAATGCAGCCATGGTTGACAATGCAGTAATGGTTGACAATGCAGCCATGGTTGACAATGCAGCGATGGATGACAATGCAGTAATGGTTGACAATGCAGCCATGGTTGACAATGCAGTAATGGTTGACAATTCAGCGAGGGTTGACAATGTAGCCATGGTTGACAATGAAACAATAGATGACAATGCAGTAATAGCTGACAATGCAGCGATGGTTGACAATACAGCAATGGCTGATAATTCAACAATGGCTGACAATTCAACAATGGCTGACAATTCAGCAATCGCTGACAATCAAGATGTAGGTGACAATTCAGTGATGGCCGACGATGTAACAATGGCAGACGATGAAACAATGGCGGACGCGGCAGCAGTGAGCGACGACACAGCAGTTGATGACGACATACCATTGGCCGAGAAACCGCCGCCCGATAAACGTGCAGCGGACGAGACGGCCAATCACGACGCGGGAAGCGATCACGTGACCGGCGAGAGCAAAGAGAACACGAATGAACAGTTTGATGAGCAAGTTGGCGAAGACGGTAATTAGCAAGTTAATAGTAATTAAACTAATAATTAAAGACAATAATGATCAATATTATAATTAATTAATGTACTTAAAATGGAGATTATCTCGTTGTGCAAGTTGTACATGGAACAATATGTATTCAGTCCTGGGCTGGATATAGATGTGTTGTATTCTACTGTACTTTAATTAATTTTCATGAAAAAGTTATTACTGTCGTTCTCAGATTCTGACGAACCCGACTTCGTTTGGGAGGAATACCTCGAAGAGACGGGCACGCTCGCAGCGCCACCTACCAGCTTCAAGCACGTGAGTGAACGACGTCGCGGTGTGGTTCTGACTGTAGTGTTTGCAAACATCCAGTGAAGCTGTTTCGACTCCTTGCCACCAATTCGTTGTAAATCTGCGTAATCGGGTCTTCCAAAGTCTTATAAGTACTTATTTTGCCAAAAAATAAAATAAGGGCCCTTATTAGTACTTACTTTTGGTGAAATCTTAGAAAAGAACTTAATAGTTCTTATTTTTTGCCAAAGGACCATTTTCCAACATTTTCTGTGTTGAATTTCAGCGAAACGGCTTTATATAAATATTATTAGTGTACCTTAATAGTCGGTGATCTATCAGAAATCGCGTAAAAAAGTCTTATTTTGGCCTCCACAAAGAGTCTTATAAGTCCTTATTTCAACATGTGTCTTACTACTATGAACCCTGCCCCTTATATATGTATGACTGCACACGTGTATATTTGTACTGCGCTTAGCTAGGCAGCCTTTTCTTGTAGGAGTAAGTTTGAGACCTTCTGTGCTTCCATTTCCCACTAGGAATGTGCCATTTTTGATTCCCTCATTGAAAACAACCACCAGTGTCATCATTCTTTATCGATAGAAACTATTCAGGAATGCAAACGAAGTGTGTTTTACATTGAAACAGCAGTTCACTATCGGTAGTTCGTGTTACATTTCATTATTGCATAATGATGCTGCTTGAAGGGGTTACACCTTTCTACAATCACACGGCCTCGCAGTCTTTCTCTCTCTCTCTCTCTCTCTCTCTCTC